TTTTTCTTTTTTGTTTTTTTTGTTTTGTTGCAAAAAGTAAAAAAAAAAAAACTATAGGAAAATGTTAATATTTATTAATTTAAACAAAATAAAGAACATGTTATAAAAGGCTGATCAAAAATGATATACCTGCAATAACCTGAGTCTGAGCGAAAACCACCTCCTCTGTGGCGCCGGCCTCGCGCTCCTCCAGCTTCTCTCCGATGCAGGCGATCACACCGAGATCGTTCTCCAGAGCATGAGCTACCTGCAGACATGCAGAGACAATTTAAGGCACATCTTAACTTGACTTTGACCTACTATTCCTATTGGTCCAAAAACCTTTAAGTCAATGTTACCATCATAACCAGAAATAAATACCTATGTATTTTGGACCTGTTAAAATGTATATATTAATAATTTGTACACTTTTTCTTGAATAAAATAATTCATACTTTATATTTGTAGGCACTACTCTTCCGTAATGCATTATCTTTGAAAAAGGAATTGTTTTGTTAAACATTTTTTAGCTATAAGCTTTAATTTTAAGGGAGAAAATCTCCCCAAACCAACCTGACACTAGATATGAAAAAGCAAATGCCCTCATGTTAAAAAATAGATTAGTTTTAATTAAATTATTTTTTTTCTTTCAAGAATAGATGAATTGTTTAAGAAATTTGTTTTGATCTGAAGAAAATGTGAAAACTGCAATCATGACTGGAAATGGTTCAAAATGCAGTTTATTAGACTTTTGGACAACAGTAAACCAAAGTGAGACCAAGTCTAGAGAAATCATTCAGCAGTGATGAACCTTCCCTGGGGAGGGCAGTCAGATGGATTCACACCAAGAGTACATTTACAGCTCGACACTGGGGTCACAATATAACACCAAACAACATGTAAAGCATTGAAGAACTCAGCTGCCACAGTTAACGTCAATATTCATCATCCAACAATAAGAACAAGGGAGTGGGCAAAAATGGCACCATGTGAAGCAAATTTTTTCTAAAAAAAAAAAATCTTCATGATCCACAACCCTTGAAAAAAAAAAGTATTCTGGAGTATTTTCTGAAGTAAAACCTTTAGAACGGTGTGTTTTATGCAGAGGCGGAAAGAGTATAAAAAATGCTTACTCAAGTTATTACACCGTTACTTTGTTAGAATTTTACTTAAATACAAGTTACCAAGGGAAATTGTTACCACAGTAAAAATATTTCATCAAACCTTTACTCCAAGTTAAAGCTACTATGTTACTTTTATATTAGCAGAGGAAAGTCCATCCTGTTTCATAAAAAAAAGTTATTTCAATCTCAAACTGCTACATCAAAACAAAGCATTTCCATATAACATTTTGGAGGTATTTTGCTAAACCTTCTAAATATATGCCTTTTTACATTTAGATGTTTGATGATCTCAAACAATAAAGTGTGAACTTGAAACCCAAAAGCAATTTATAAGGATTCAATTTTTTTACGGAAAATTAGAAGAAATTAGAAAAATCTGCAAAAACAGAATATGCTTGAATCAAACAACAGCACACCGAAAAGCAACCCAAAAACAGGACTACAATCATCAAAAATGTCTTTTCTATAACTAAAGAAAAACATAAAAGTCATCTTGTGAAGGAAGGAGCAAAGTCTCACCTTTTGGCCGATCAGCTCATCGCTTTCTCCGAACACATGGCGTCGCTCTGAGTGTCCGAGGATCACCCAGTCTGCTCCGCAGTCCTTTATCATGGCCGGGCTGGAGGCGTGGAGAAGAGCAGGTCACCTTTCAAAGAACCCAACTACAACACATTGTATTTCTCTAAACACAGACTGACTTTTGTCCAACTTTAAAAAAATGTTCAAGTGTGTTCTGCTTATTTTTTTTTCAAAGTAACCACATTTCTAATGTTCTCTGTAGAGCTTTGAGTTGTGTTTTCTACGTTTTGTTGACAGAAAACAACCACTTTTACACTAATAAAACAGAAATATTTATCTTTAGTTGTATTATAAAGTCAGCTGCTCACATACCTGATCTCTCCTGTAAATGCTCCTTTGGCCACCTTGTAGCAGTTCTGGGCTGCAACCCCAATTTTGGGATCGAGGAGGGACCGAGCAAAGTCCAGATAGATGGAGGGAGCAGCACACACCACCTCTAAAACAAGGAAGAAGGTTTAGCTGTTAGTTCAGTGTTTTTCCTTCTCTTTTAAAGCTGTTTCAAAGTACCGTGACCTCAGTGACCTTAAAGAGGTCATAATTACTAAACATCTTTACAACTATTTTGGATCTTGCATCAAACTGGACATTATTCTTTAATATTTTGAATTCTTCCAATTTTTCTCTCCTTACTTTTGAATCACATCCAAAGCCTCCTAATGTGGAAGTTTTAAGCTATAACTGTAAAATTCTTGGATGTTTATGTTTAAAGTTTTCTTTTTAAAGGGGGAGAGAATCAGAATCAGAAATACTTCAATGATCACAAGGGATATTATCTTCGTTACACACTCCAGGTATACAAACAGCATATTGCACAATTCATAATCTAAAGAAATACACTACAACACAAAGTAATATAATAAAACTTTCCACATTAAAAATAAAAATGTAAATGTATACATATGTAACTATATATATATATATTGAGAAAAAAGTCTGAATTCTGACATTAAAGTCAGAATTCTGGAAAAACAGTCAGAATTCTGAGATTAAAGTCAGAATTCTGAGAATAAAATTCAGAATTCTTAAAATAAAGGCAGAATTCTGAGATTAAAAGTCAGAATTCTGAGGAAAAAGTCAGAATTCTGAGATTAAAGTCAGAATTCTGAAAATAAAATTCAGAATTCTTAGAATAAAGGCAGAATTCTGAGATTAAAGTCAGAATTCTGAGAATAAAATTTAGAATTATTAGAATAAAGGCACGAATTCTGGGATTAAAATTCAGAATTCTGAGATTAAAGTCAGAATTCTTAGAATAAAGTTAGAATTCTGAGATTAAAAGTCAGAATTCTGAAAATAAAATTCAGAATTCTTAGAATAAAGGCAGGAATTCTGGGATTAAAATTCAGAATTCTGAGATTAAAGTCAGAATTCTAAGAAAAAAATCAGAATTCTTTCCCATTAAACTAAAATAAAATTAAAAATCAGTTAACTTTTTTAATTTCTTCAGTGGCCCTAATCATCTTCCGTACACATGACTGCAGCTGCATCTCTGCATGGTTTGTTGATAAATCAAAGCAAACATCAGATGATAAGGACTGCTGAGCGCCTGCAGTTACCGGTCTGATCGTCCAGGCTGGCGGTGTTTAAGGTGCTCATCAGCTCCTCCAGACTCTCCTTATTTCCGTTCATCTTCCAGTTTCCTCCGACGAAGAACCTCCGCGCCATGGCCGGTTGCTGGTGCTTATATCCCGGTAGGAGAGGAGATGGAGACCGCGGTGTGGGCTCCTGTAGGTGTGCACTTCAGGTGCTGTGGGAAATTGTTATGTGAAAGAAAAAAAATAATACAAAATAAAAAAAAACGCGTCTTTTTTTAGATGGGATTAAAAGAATGAAGTGTAAAAGCTTTTTATGGGTGAGTAGCGCCTCCTGCTGTGCAAACAGAAAACGGTCTTTAATCCTAATCCCCTCTACCTGTTGCACAAAGCCGTCTAGGGCAAGGCCAGATTATTTATACAGCCCATTTAAGTAACGACACAGTTCAAATAAATGAACACATTAGAAAAACACACAGAGAAAAGTTTATTGCAGTGGCATACAAGGAGAGAAAAATATGCACAAGTGTAATAAATATATTCCATTTTTTCCTTATAAACTGATTTCAATACATTATTGTGGGGAGTGGTGGCCTAGTGGTTAGGGCATAGAGCTTGGAATCCTGAGTTTGTGAGTTTGAAACCCACTCCCACAGACTGCCACCTTGGCTCCCTGAGCAAAGACCCTTAATCCCACACCGATCCCTGGGTGCTGAAGATGGGAGCCCACTGCATCCACAAGGTAATGGGTTAAATGAAAGTGTAATGATGATAAAAATGCTGGAGAGAATAAAATCTGTTACTCAGTTTTAAATTTTTTTTTTATTACTTAAACAAGTAACTGTGCTGCCAGTGCTCAGACTCTCACTCCAAAGTCATCTCAAAGCTATAGAGCCCTGACTATTCTTAATAATAAAATGATTCATAAACTAAAATACTAATGGGGAAGATGTTGTGAACAGAGCACTGCACTGCACCATTAAAGGTGTTTGGCTTTGAAAGGTTTTCTGTTAGGATAGCCCTTTCTTTATCTAATTTTTTGAAAACTTTTCTTTACTTACTTGTTTCTTCTTTTATTTTTTATTTTACCTTTATTTTACCAGGAAGTCCCTTGAGATAAAATCTCTTTTTCGAGGGAGACCTGGCCAAGAGGCAGGAGTACAGTAAGACATATAAAAACACAGGACAACATAATAAAATCAATCATATAGACAACAACTAGATGATAAATCCATCTCATATGCAGCATAATGCTGCCACCACCATGTTGTCCTCATGAAGTTTTCCAGTTAACCAAAACATTCCATCTTGTTTTTATTTACCCAGAACTTTTTTCTTCAGTTGTTGGCTGCAATATTCCTGTGACTTTTAATTAAATTTAACAAAGGCTTAATAGGTAGTGATATGTGTGCAACTAATAATAATACATTTTATTTCAAAGGCGCCTTTCTGGACACTCAAGGTCACCATATAAAGGATAAAAACAAGACTAAGCCACTTGGTGTAAACAAACCTTTTTTTTTTAGTAAAGTAATGGTGATGTGTATCAGAACAGGGAGCAGAATTAATAACAGATGTAGAAATGCTTGTTAATGCCGAAGTTTATAAAAGGTCTTTCTCTGGAGAATAGAACAGGTTGGATTTGCAGAGGATAACAAAAATCGTCAAGGTCAACAGGTCAACAGGTCCTCCCACCTGAGTTTTTGATTTCTGCATTTTTATGGCTCCTTCTCTGATTAATGTTCTTCTTAGCAGACCAACCAGGTAAGGTTAAGAGAAAGAAAACAGACTTTTGCAACACACTGCAGCAACACATTAAAGTATATTTGGAAAATAAAGAAAAAAAAAATCTCCAAAGTCAATTTAATGCAGCTATTTATTAGAAAGATTTTCCAGAAACATTTTGCCTTTTTTACATAAAAGTTGCAAACTTGTACAAGAACTATAGAATGAATCTGAGCTGTCAGGGATAAAATGAACTTTCTAGTTACATTTACATTAGCAACATAAAAAAAAAAAAAACATTTAAGAGTACTTTTACTGTACAGTACTTCCTTCTTTTAATTAGATAGTATTCTTATGAAGTTTTCCAACTCCAACTTAAGTGTATTTAACAGTAGATATTGCCAGTGAAAGTTCTTTAACATGCCCTAACATATATACAGTTCTCGCTGTAAGGATTTGTTCCATAACTTTGTATTTTAGATGTTCTCCTGCATGAGTTTGCTATTTTGTAGTCATGTTATTTGTATTTTTCTATGTATTTTAATCTTAAAAATACCAGATTTGCTAATAAAATGTCTGACTACATCTCTAAGAATTAAATCAGATGTTTTGATCCAACAGCTACATTGAATTTTTTAACAAAAGCCTTTTTACTCTTAAAAATTTGCTGCCTGGCAGCTCAGTCAGTCAGATCACATTCAAACGGAAACCTTCCTTGTTTTGCGTCCACATGGGTTGATCCCACCCAGCAATATAATATATTTTTAATCTCTGTGTGTATTTGACCCGACAAATAGATAAATAGATAAAAATAACAGAGTAAATAAACTTCATTCTAGCTTTTACACTATCACCTACAAATGAATTTTTACATCGGTTTTTTATCTATGTGAATTCAAGGCTCTTTTACAGTTTAATGATCTGAGGAACAAAAGTTAAATCTGTTATTCTATAACTTTTTTTTTTTTTTTTAGTGCTTATGCTCTCGTTCTGTCTTTTGTTGAAAACCTCTATGTATTTCTGAATCAGAGCCCCTTTTCTTGCTCTTTAGACATTTAGATTAATGAGCTATTTTAAAAAATGTACTTTGTTATTGAAATTGACAACAGTGAAGTTGTTCTGTACACACAGCAGGATGCATCGTACGCCGTTTCCCTGATGCCATTTATACAATGAAGCTCATTAGCCACCGCTCTTGTTTAGTATACATCATTAAGGAAGAAGAGAGGAAGATCGGAGGAGGAGGAGGCCTTATTTATTCATGCATCCTTCCTTCTCTTATTCCCTCCTCATTACTGCTCCTCCTCTTTTCTTCCTGAGCTGTTTTCTTCCCACTGAAAACGCCTCAGTTCCACAGTTTGAGGAAGCTGTCCCAGGATCCTGTGCAGACGCCCAGTCCATCTTCTGGAACGCCGGTGCAGCTCACCCTGTTGTCATGGCCAGAGAGCACACCTGGAAGAAACAAATAAAATTATTCACCAAACAAAGCATTCATCTATCATTTTTGTTTCTGTTTGCATATATTGAAATTAAAACAACTCAGGAACCAGAACAGCAGGTCTGTATAACATAAAGAGCTCTCACCGACTTTCTCTCCCTTCAGTGAGTCCCAAATGTGGCAGTTGAAGTCGTCATAGCCTGCAAAGATAAGGCGGCCAGAGCTGGAGAGGGCCAAAGATGTGACGCCGGCGTTAAGGCTGGCGTCTGTGTAGTCCATCACCTCCTGGTCGGAACGCAGGTCATACATCTTGCAGGAGCAATCATCAGAGCCTGTGATGATGGCATTTCCACTGGGAAAGAACTGCAAGTAGAAGAATCATTAGTGGAAAAAAGATGTAAGTAATCAGACACTACATAATCCATCGCCATCATGGTATTAACATTTCATTCAATGAAAATGTACTAATGACAATGATTGATTTGCCCAGATTTACATTTTTTGAGTTTTCTTCTAAAACTTCCATTTTTAAAACGTTTGTAATATAAGGATAATTTTCTTCTTTTAAAGCAAATTAATTCCCTTTTCCCCTTGAATTAGGAAAGATCTACTATCAAGCATATAAGATGAGTTGTTCCACACAACTGATAAAGAATATTGACTCAAAAACAATAAAGTAATTTTTTTCCCCATCCCATTTTAGCCGTAGCCATAGCATCTAATTTAAGTACAACCTTTTATCAGGCAGTTTGGTGATTTCACACTTTGTTTTCCTAAAATTCTGCTTTAGTTTTACACAACATATAATAAGACTTTTACCTTTTAGAAAGATAACATTCTACCAAAATAATCCACAAAATGTTTTTTCTAGAATTTGAGAGATTCCAAGATGTTTCTTGACAAATGTCAGACAGACCTTCTGCTCATTTCAGCTGATAGTTTATTTTTAACCAGGATGTCTCCATAGGGGCCCCTTTGTTAGAGTTCTGAAAACTCAAAAAGGACTTTATGATATGAACTGATTTCCTATCTGTTCTTGAACTTCCTTTAATTCAGGAAGTATATTGCTTTTTATTTTTATTTTTTAGATATTTTACACCTATTTAAAAAGGCAATACAACATCTGCTGCAGTAATTTCCTCATTCTTTTAAATCTAAACCAAAAATAGATAAATTTGACAAGAAGTGTAATCAAATTCCCCTGTGCTGGTTTGGAAATCCCTTTCCCTTAAAAGGTAAAACTATTATTGGAAAGCAAATTTGTGTACTTTGCTTGGTATGATATTTTTTACCTGAAATCATGAAAGTGGACAAATAAAGCTTCCAATAAAAAAAAGGTATAAGAAAGCAAAGCAGCAGGGAAATCCCAAACCCAATTCTCACAGGGGAATTATTCCCACTATATGATGATAATGAGTGAAACATTTTTGACAGTCTTTCCTCTCCTCTTTCTGCTCCTTCAATATCTATCCTCCAGTCCTGATAAACATTTTTCTTTCATTTTGTGCACAGGCTCCATGCAGAATCCTCACAGAAATGGCGTTGATGTCGCTGGTGTGCCCTGAGAAGGTCTGCTTGCAGGTTCCTTCCCTCAGGTCCCACAGCTTGGCCAGAGAGTCACAGGCTCCTGAGATGAAGGTGTTCATGTCAGGGGAGAGGGCCAGTGACATGCAGTCCCCAATGTGGTTGGTGTAGACCACTTTCTGCTTGCCCGTCTCCAAGTCCCACAGAACACTAAAAAAGGTCACAGCACCGTTATTTAAGATACATTCTGCCTGCTGCATAATATTTACAGCAAATAAAAATGAAAATGATGCTTAAACTCTTTTGTAAAATATATATTTTACATTAATAAATAACAAATAGAGTCAATAAAAAAACTAGACAGATTCTATGTGAACTATTAAGAAAAGCAGCTTCTCTGCCTGTAAAAGCTGCAAGGTTAATTATTAATGCATATTTATTTAGTGTTTTTGGGCTTTTGCAAAGTTTAATAAACCTTAAAAATGTTACATAGGTTATTCAACTAATTCTAATAAGTAAAAAACTGAAAAATAACATGAAAAGTCATTGTTTTATTCTTTGCAAATCTCAAAGGCTAGTTTAGAGGATTAACATTTGTTTTGGACTCCAATAAAGTCTAAATATTATATTTTTGGGATGCAAGAAATATCCTGTCTATTTGTTTTGTCAGCTAAAACATGACGACTCTTTTAAAACTGCTCAACAATAAATTAAACATGTGATATTTCATTTAAAAAAATAAATAAAGAAATCTGATGTTTTTTTGTATGACAGGGATTTGTAAAATTACATTTTCTTTATAAAAATTATAGCGTCAAGTTGTCAATTTTTTAACGTCAGTTAAAAAATCTATTCTCAGCAGGAAGAACCAAAGAAAAATGTGGGTATTTTCCTGTATAACTAGCTGTATTTAGTCCAGTGTGTGGTCCTGCTTTATATTACTGTAAATGACTCAGAAAGCCTGATTTTTAAATAGACAAAATCTTTCTTTTATGCATCTAACATTTTGATCATTGCAAGATTTAAATGATATGTAATAATTTTGCCAGAATTAGAAATAAAAAGTCTCCATATTCAAAAATTCATATTATTCTTCCACAACTTCAGTCAATGAGGCAGAAATGGCTGTAACCTCCCCCCATTATTCAAATCGATACACTAGAAAGTGTTTGTCTTGTTGTATACATACATCTTTAACAGTAATCCACCCTGATCACCAATAACTTACCAGGTGGTGTCACCAGAGGCTGTCAAGATCTCAGAATCACTAAGGAAACGGCAGCAGGACAAGTAACCTGCATGACAGACAATGTTTTCCTTTAAAACATTTCAAATTAAACATTTTAGGGCGGCAGGAAGCGTTTGTTCTTACCTGTGTGTGCATCCAGCTCCCTGAGGGTCTTGGGGCTGGCAGCCTTGATGTTGTAGACTGTGCAGATGTTGTCCAGACCACCGCTGGCCACCAGGTTACCAGAAGGAGCAAAGGCGACACTCATAACCCAAGCAGACTTCAGAGGGACAGCGACCAGCTGAGGAGAGAAATTAGGAATAGTTAATTCATTAGATATTTACTGATCTATGTAAGCTGAGGATGACTAAGTACATTAGGATAAGACAGATCATAGTTCTCTAGCTAAGGTTTTATCAAAGGGCTGCACGGTGTCACAGCTTTTAGGTCCTTGGTTCAATCCCAGACTGCAGAAAGAGCCAGCTGAGAGTCTTTCTGCACTGAGCTTGCATGTTCTCCCTGTGCATGCTTTGGTTCTCTCTGGATATGCTGACTTCCTCCCACCGTCCGAAAACAAGACTGTTAGGTGATTTGCACCCATTCACACACTGATAATGGCATGATGGTGGCACTGTAGCCACAGCTGCCCTGGGGCACGCTCACAGAAGTGAGCAATTTGGTTGCTAAGTTGTCTGTTTACTGGTATTGAACAATAAAAATCGTTCTAAAATCTTTGACGTCACAACAACATTCAGAGCGCTTCACAAAAATTTGTTCTGACTGCAAAGTTTTTTAAACTTAGAATTTGTGCAAAATGCTAAATGCAAAAAATAAAGAGGGGCATTATAAGGAAAATAAAGCTGACAATTTGGAAAATCCAATTTAACTCTGACTGAATCATTTGAATTTGCCCAAATATTAAGGACTCCACTGTCTGCACCATAAGTCCAACGCCTGTTTTGTGGATTTATAGTGCTGCTTTAATCTGCTCTCTAACTGGAGATTAGTAGATGTAATGGATCAGAAGAAATAACTTTGCAAGTATCACAAAGCCTATTATCTATAAATGCATGCTGAAGAAAGGACCAATCATGATTTATTTCTGAGCTTCTGTTTCTTATTGGCTCGCATAAATTATGAATCCTGTAATAGCATAGTTCACACTTGGTGAAATACTGGATGTGATGTTACCTTGTTCCCAGTGTGGGTGTCCCAGACGAGAAGCTTGCCATCCTGTGATGCACTGACCATTTGCCTTAGAGGGTAAGGAAACAGCCACTTTATATACAGGTGACATTTAAGATTTACTCACAGCTAAAAGCTTGCATTCAGGAATGTATAATACCATTTTTTAAACACATAAGTGTGTTAAAGTTAAAGATTAAAAGTTAAACCTTGTTTTTTTTTTCTTCCTTCATGTGAGCCTCCTTGGATTAAGAAATCCAAAGGATAGATTATTTTTATATGGGAATATGTTTTTTTTTCCTATCTGAATGTTCTTAAACCCAAAATATTTTTTAAAGGTGAATCATTTTCCTTTCAGGTTTTATCCTTTAAGAACTTATTGCGCAGAGGTAGAATTTAATAAAGAGATGGTTAAAGTCACAGTAAAGCTAATCAGTTTATCTTCATCGACTTTGCAGAGTGTTTTAAAGCATCTAACAGTGCTGAACAGTGACAATGCTCTTCTCTATATACTGAAGTAAATTCCTTAAACAAGGTCAAATTATGGTGAAATGAATAATTTGCCCAAATCCTAATTTCTGTCCCTGATCAGTCATAAAAGACATGTTACATGTGATCAAGAACTGACTAAAATATTTCATAAAAGGTTGTAATTTTCAATTTTGTTACCTTGAATCTGCTGACCAGTGCATGGCATAGATCTTGGCCAGGTGGCCCTTGAGGTTCTTCCTGAGCTTCAGCTGAACCCGGCCCACAGGGGCCACACCATTGGCTGCTGCTGACATGGTGGTGTCGTTCACGGCCTTACGCGCCGCCTGGTGGCCAAATAATGAATTACACGTAGTCATTAGCACATTGACATAGCATTCTTATATTTTTTTTACTGTTACTTCTCTCATATTTTTACTTGTAAGACAACTTTTTGTTCAAATTCGTTACTAATATATATTGTTATGAAATGAAAATATATATTTAAGGTTAAAAAGAGTAATGAAATCCAGAACAGATAGAATCAACCTATTAAGCTATTAATCAACCTGTTATGAATAGCACCTGTTTGATATAGTTTGTTCCATGTCGGAAATGCTTACCTCAATTTGAGAACGAAGGCCGTCACACTCTTTTTTCAGAGCGTCCATTTCAGCTTTCTCAGCTGCCATGATGACAGTCGCTGGAGGATGTTATTGATGGAAAATGAAGGACTCCCTCTGTGACAGAAAAGAGAGCAAAAAGGATAAGTAAGGTATGGAGAAAATGACATGCAAATCAAAAGTGCATTATATAGATTATTAAATTTTCCAATTAAGTTTTTTGTTAGAGGTTCTTTTGTCTGGTTCTTTGGTTTGCTTCTGTTGTTTCCTGTTGATTCCTCCTATGGATTTCTCCCTGGGACATTCAGTTCCAGAACCGAGTTTTCGATGTTCATTTTCTTTGTTTAGTATTTTTTTTTCGTCTTTATTTTGCCCCTCAGCAAAGCCCCTGTGCTCACAGATGTTTTTCTCACAGCTCTTTTTGGAACACTTTTTTTTTGGTTGCTATTTGGTTGGTTGGAGCTGGGTAGGGTGTTTCTGAAAGGGATGAAGAAGAAACAATTTCATCAGGGAATTAATGTTAATTATTTCTTAAGTAGTGAATCTTGCATATTTTCCTTCCTTAGCATGTGTAGTTCAGGTCGGTGCCTATATCCATGCACCTATTGCTTCAGGAAATGAGTAAAAATGAAAATAAAATATGATATTCAGCCACTTTTGTCCTTATTAAACAACCAATGAAAGGTTAAATGTCAGAAAAGCTTAATAAATCCAACATTAAGTGTAATAAAAAAAAATATTTCTGACAGTTTTACATGTAGAAGCTACAACTCTAATATTCCATAGAATGATACTGACCACTGACACATTTAATGCTGTGTGCCTGCTTACACATCACCAAGGCCAGCATTTATGCCTTAAATCAAACAAATCTTTAAGATATGGGAATTTTAAAAAGTATCTGAAAATTTCAACTGGGAAACCTGTTTTCAATGTTTCTTAGTGAAATATATATATATATATATATATATAAAAAAACAGAGTTATTGTCCTTGGGACCCCAGCATAATAAAACATGTCTAGTGCTGCACATGTGGCAGACTGAGACATGTGATGTGATGCAGGGAGGAAATTAGTTAGACAGGAAGGACAGTGACTCACTGCTGAAACTGTTTCTGAGCTGCGTTTGCTGCACGGCTTTAAATCTTGGCAGAAGATCTTAAGGGAGGTTTTACAGTCAAATCTGGTCTCATCCGATTAATACTCTTTACCTTGGGATCAGAGGAGCGAGGTGATGTGGAAGATGATGAATTAAGTTTTCCTTTTAGAGTCAAAACCATAAACATAGACAGGAGGAGTTTACAAAATCCAGCAAATTACAGCATTAGAAAGAAATATCTCATGAAAAGCTACTTTTTGGCAAAAAAAACCAAACAAATTCAATCATAAAGTGTGTTTGAAGAATGAAAACTCATGCAGAAAAATTCCTGGATCTGTTGAAGTCTGACCTTTTCTGTGCAACTGGTTATATCTACTTTACCTGAGACTGAAATCTGCTTGCTTCCAATCCAAAGATTAGCATCAAAGTAATGAAACTAATCATGGGATGCTGTCTTAAACTGAACAAACAGATTATCTGTTGCTAGCTTTAAGGTGCAGGAATGGTGGCCTGGAGGAAGACTGAATGTTTTAGAGGTTTATTGAGAACTATAGATTTTTTCCCCATGAATTAACTGATATGCGTTTTATTGTACTAAACTAAATAAGATTTATTTTAGCCACAGATTGCTTGTTTCCCCACAGTGAATAAAAAAACAAAACAAAAAACATTGGCTTCAAATCAGTAGCTAAAGACATCTAAGCAGAAACTCACCTTTATCACTCACAGTTAGGACCTTGTCTTCTACAACTGGGAAGCTCCTGCTCCCAGTCACCACCAGCTCTGTGGTCCCCAATGAGTTCCTTTAGATTCCACAGTCCTGGGTGGCACAGCCGATTCGCTGGCTCCTCTGATACTCTTCCCAATGCAGACTGCTGATCAAGCTTTACCTGCAAAAAAACTCTCTCTTTCTCCTGCCCTTCCTCCACAGAGAAGAACAGATGAGGATTGGAGGGGATGAAGGAGATAAGGGATGAAGGGATAAAGCACAAAGATGGAAACATAGAGGGAAGGAGAGAGACTGAGAGAAACAGGGGGAGTGAACATGGCATGGAACACCAGGTAAACTGATTGGAAGGAAAAAAGAGGTTATGAGGTCAACCAACAAAATTGGGTGAGAAACCAAAGGAAGACAGCGAGTTAAGGGACAAAGGAATATTGAAATGTGAGGTATGAAGTTTGTAAAAAAAGGAATAAAGAATTGGCAGTTTTCCAAACATAAGGGATTTAAAATGGGTTTCAAGTAGATATAAAAATGGAGAATTAGAACACACTGGAGAAACCATTAAAAATGGCTAAATAGGATTATTGAATTACCTTGAATAATTTTAACTATAAAGTCACTGCATACTTTTTTTAATGTAGGCCACGTTTTCTGTCACTATGGCGGCCGATGAGATGGTTAGTGAACAGCAGAGGTTGACAAGGGGCGAATTGCTTTGGCAGAGCTAATGAGCTGAGCTTGGTTAATCTGGGTTTTATGAGATATCCGGGGACGAGCAATCTCGTTAGGGAATTAGAACGGGTCGGGCTAAACGTGCGTCACATTTGACTTGTTAAGGTAGGGACAAAAAGTGCATCAAGAGTCAATTGTGGCATTGAGACTTTTTAGAAAACTATTAAATGATCCGTGCTATTAAAAAGATGCACCATATAGAAAGGTTTGCTCTCAAACACTCTTGATCTTATGATCCATGCATTGGTCTGCATGGATCAGCGCTTCCAGACTGCAGACTAGCAAAGACCATCTAATGTAAAGTGCTGCAGGGGAGCATGCAATGTGAAGGAAGGGTTCAGGTGTTCTCATGCAAATTTGGAGAAGGTTTTCGTCTGGGCGTCTGAGATAAACGCGTTTGGTCTGCCCCTTGGTCATATTCTAAGCTGACTTGCAACGTCAGGAGGATTTGCTCTATTTCTTCCAGGAAAGCTGGGTGTGTGAAATTAGAGGAGGAGGGACAACCACTGGTAATTAGATCCCCTCTTCGTTTAAGTGGAGGTATGGAGGTCAGGATTGTGAGCTTGGTGACTCACTCGTAAGAACTTTATGCTTGAATGCATCATCCTCATTAAAAGTATTTTTCATAGGATGGCTTCAAATGAAGGTTTCATGCTGAAATAAAATAAAAAAAGAATGATTAAAAAAAGGGAGATTCTTGAAACTTAATCTTAGAATACATTTAAGTCCTTTTGGAAACAATAGAAAAGGCTAATTGGGTAATTAGGGCTCTAAAAGACATAATTCCTTTCAGACACTCTAATATTAAATCATGTTATTGATATTGGATGCATAGAAAAGTCATCCGTCGCTGAACTACCTGTGGCGCTCGTGGAAATCACTGCGTCCAATTTGAACTCATCATTACTGAAAAAAGAAGTTTACTAAAGTCTAAATCTCTTAGACTTCAACAGATTTATTTTGTCATTTTGTATATAAAAATAACTTTTGTTTAAACCAGCTGTAGAAAATTGTATTTTTTCAAAGTGCAGCCTTGAAAACAGTAATAAATACATGAAAAAAATAGTAATATAAACATATGATCGTATAATTACAGTTCTAACATTTTTTTTGATTGATCCAGATCTGTGACAGAATTCTGAGTTCAGAAAGTATCATCATCCCCAGAACAAACTAGAAGACGTAGTGATGATAGAGTCATTATACACAGTAACATGAATTTTGTATCAACATGAGCTGAAAGTCCACTGGGAGCGGACGAAGCCATTATTCCCAAAGCTGTTTATAGGAGTGAAATAAAAAAAGGGTTCTGGGACGAATTAATATGCTTTTAATTAAAACAAAACTTGAGACACAAGAACTAGGAATGCAGCAGCGGAAACATGGAGCAAACAGAATTTATCAAGACAAGCGAAGCGCAACAGGCTGTTTAAGTAAGAAGGAGACGGAGAGACGAAGACTGAGGAAACAGCTGAGGCAATCAGGAGAGAAATGGTCACAGCTGAGGAGGATCATGCTAACGAGTTTAGGGAGAAGAAGAGTCCTTGGCAGGGGTCTCATTTATAAAACACTGCATTATAAAACATAATAAAACTGTAAGTTGACAAACATATATATAAAAAAGCTAAGAAATCCTGATTTATAGAACCATGAGCATAAATATTGTGACACCTATTTGTTGTTTATCATAATTTGATCTCAACTGTTTTCTTGGAAATGTTCCAGCTGGCTCTTTGTCTGCCTAAGACGTTAAAACACTTGTAAAATGTTTATCTCTTTGCTTTGGCTCATGTGGAGCAGTCTAATTATAAAACCTCCTGTAAGTCACACTAAACTCCATCTTAATAGGGACTTTAAGAAAGTGTTTACAGATGTATTTGCAAAGTTTGATCTAAGGTAAATTTCTCTTATGGATAAACCTGAACATTATATGATGTGATTTTATTGTTTCAGCTTGGACCAATAAAAAAGATGTTTCTGGATGTGATGTGAAACTAGATAAACTAGAGACTTATTTTTAAAACTGAAAAGAAAAGAAAAGAAAAATCATGGATGTGTAGTTATTTCTTTCTCTGAGAGTTGTTTTATTTTTGCATGTTTTTTTCTTTGGTCCTTGGTTGTTTAACCTGCTCTCTCTGTGCATTCATGGCCTCCTAGTTGGTTTAGAAACATTTTTGTTTATGGGTGATTCTAAAATGCTTGAAAGCAATGATGGCTGGAGCGGTAACCTGCCTGTGAGAACTTTGGTTTGTAAACATTTTGTATCATGTATCCATCTCCAACACTGAGGATTTTTACAGTAAAAAAAAACAACATAATTTTTCTTCTCCTAGAAGGAAATAAAACATCATACAAAATTATCAAATGTTAGTGCTGCATTTTATTGTTAGGAGAAGCTGGATCACAACTTGCAGATGTCCAGAGACATTTGAAACAGGTGTTTCTTACTCTCTTTGTTGCAGGGTTCATATAAAGAAGAACAGTGCTCATCTATCCCTCTCAGGCTGTAATCCAGGCTAATGAACTGGGACAGCAGAGGGCTAGCTGACTTCCTGGTATCTCTCAGTTGTAACAAGCTCAGCAGTAAAACCCTCTACTCTCCCCTTTTGGCCTCTTCTCTCAGTGAAGCTCTTAGTCCACTTTGAGAACACAGGGAGAAGACAAAGTCACACGAAAGACAGAATGAAGGTCTCAGAGAGAGGATTTACATTTCCTTTTCTTGTACAAGCAATGAGTACGGGGAACATTCCAAAAAGAAAAAAAGTGTTTCATTGAATCAATAGTAGATGGATTCCCAACAATTTATTATTATTTTTTTTAATATTTATGCCTTTCCATTGGGAAATACCAGATCAATATCATAAGACAATCATACATGTGATAAGAAATTCATCACTTTTCCGAAAAATTCCAATCAATGGCAAAATGAATAAATACAATTCTGGTTAGAAAGACATAAGCTCATCATAAGCATAAATATCACATCACATCAAAATATTAAAATATATATTCTTTACTATTTTCTGTACAAAACAAAATTAGTTATTGGCTTTGCAGGATTCTCCCCTCTTGTATGATCCTGTAGTGACAGCAGATATTTGCTTGCAGTGTGTCATTGACGGTACAGCAATCCCTCACACTGAGCATGCATGAACTGAGAGGAAGAAACCTCCAGCAGAGCCAGAGTCTGTGTGAGCTGCCTTCTTCCAAGGCCATCTAGGGTTCAAGGAGACAAAAGCAGACAAAAGCGAAGCAAAGATGCACTCATCTATAAATACTTTCTATATTTGAAAAAGTAATGGCAGACTAGCAGAGATGGCAAAAGTACTCCCTTTCCGTAGTTGAGTAAAAGTACAGATACTTGTGTTAAAAAATACTCTGGTAAAAGTGGAAGTACTGATTAAACTTCTTTACTCAAGTAAAAGTAACAAAGTACAGGCTTGTAAATTTACTTAAAGTATAAAAGTAAAAGTAGAAACCACTTTTTTCATGCCGTTGCCTACATTTTAAATGGATGTCTGCCAATAGGACTAGATCTCCGTTGTGTTCATTTTCAATCATCTTGTCGTCCATGCTACTATGCTAACGCCACCGCCACCAAGCTGCAATGATTTGCCGCCAATGAATACCGCCGAATCTGTCGATTCATCTTGTAGTGGTGCGTCAAATGCAACGTAGATTCCCATCCAATTAGATTGAATTTGGTATTGATGACGTGAAAAATAATAACGGTAACTCCATTGAAATGATTCAAAACTAAAGTAACGAGACAATTTTTAAAAATGTAAGGAGTAGAAAGTACAGATATTTGTGTAAAAATGTAAGGAGTAGAAGTAAAAAGTAAAAATATCAGAAAAATCTACTTGAGTACAGTAAAGAAGTATTTGTACTTCGTTACTTTCCATCTCTGCAGACTAGATCCAAAGGGACCGGATTGCATTCCAAATGAAAGGAGAGGGAGTGTATAGAGTTAGTCACAATGAAAGCTGATCCCATTGGTACACTGCAAAAAACATCTAGAAATAAGTAAAAAATGTCTTAAATTAAGTGTATTTACCCTTACTTTGAGCACGTAAATAAGATGATCTGCCAATGGAATTAGTATTATTACTCCTAAAATAAGATAATTAGATAATATACGCTTGAAATAAGACAAAGCAATTGTTTTTTTTCTTATGTTAAATGTAAGTTGTCTTGTTCCATTGGCAAAGTGTCTCACTTACCTCCTCAATTCAAGAAAAAATGCACTAAATTTGAGCAAAAATGACCTATTTAGATTTCCATTTTTTGCAGTGTATGTCTAAGAGAGACACATGACTAAGCACTGAAAAACTGGCCCAGTTCTAGGATCTATAATGGAAGAACCGTCCTTCAAATTGGGCAAAAAGAAGGATGCATTTAGCTACTTCATAACGCAGTCACCTCGGCGCCCCGCTACGACTTAATCTGCCTACGAATCTGGCCTTCGGAGGAAGCAGACCCTGAATTCGAATTCAAATGATATTTCCGTCCAGGATGTTGTCACTGAGCAGATGAAGCTACCATGAAAAAAAAAAAAAGCAAGGAGAACTTAAAGTTATGGGTTAATACTGCAGAATTGGACAATAGAATTAGAAGCAAAGGGAGGAAAATTGTTCCCTATGCCCTAAGGCGGCCTATTGCAGCATATGTAACTATATCATCATCATCACTATCATCTATATCGAGCAGAAAATATTAAGTACAAACAAATATACAGTACATAAAAATTAACATATAACAGAGGTTATCTTGTACAAAAAGCAGGGGGAGGAAGAAAAGTGATATAATCCCTCTCCTTTCATCCCTTCAAAGGATGTTCAAAAACATGACACCTTTCTATCAATATCTGTACAATAAATAAAATTAGAATAAAGAAACAAAGATACTGTTTTTTTCATTCTCAAATTAAATCTACTGCCGTCAACACCTTAGATTATAGAGAACAGAGTTTGGCCTGTTTATCGGTGTTTAGTCCTGTTTCTCCTCTAGAGATCGCTTACTCACTAGATGTGCTCTCTTTCATCCCTTTGACATGAAAACAAGGTAAACAGAGCCCCTTGTGAAGCTAGTTTATCATTATATTTTCTAACATAGAAAGTATTGATCAATGCATCTATGTTATTTTGATATTTTCCTCCATTTGCTTGAACCTTAACATTAAGTGTACCTTATTTCAATTCCGATTAAAAGTTGGAACCCCGGTTTCTGAACATGCAGAAGTTCACGGATTGGTTCCACTTTGCTCTTTTAAATCTAAAATAACATTTAAATTAGCATCAAGGATTAAACTAAATATTAGTTTTTCCTAAAGCATACACATTTAATTATTAAACAGATAAAAAAAATATTTTCAAAACATAGCATATCAATCTAGTGAAGCTAGACTGATAAATATGTTTATAATGGCACACTTTGAATGCTAATGTTGCTGTTAATGAAAGTCTTTGATAAATGAAATTTGCAACTGAATGGATCAAAAACAAACTGAGGAGAAATATCTCATCTTCTTATCACTGCTGGTTTGTTGGAGCCTGAGAGATCTTGGAAAATTCAAGATGGTAACTGTTGCACTGCCACCTGGTGGCAGCAACCCAAGACGAAAACTGAGTACCTGGATTGATTTTTTATCTTCAGGAGCTTATGTCTTAAATAAGAGACTCATTCTGTATTTTTATAATATAAATTGATTAAAAAATAAATCACTTGGCTAAATACTAAACCCAACAAATCAATTTAGGAAAGTAAAAACAAGCATAAAACAAAACCAAACAACAAACCATAACTATGTTGAGGATCCCTTTTTCCGCCTCATTGGAACCAAACAATCAATGGTAAAATATAGCAGAAAATCGTTAAAAATGTACCTGATCAGTGGCTTTATCTAAAATTAAAAAAAAAAAAAAAAAAATAGTTTTTGGTAATATTTAAATGAACACTTCAGCTATAACTTTATTTTGACATTGAAAAATGTTGAGTAAATTTGCTTTATTAATTTCAATCTGATGAACAGGTAGAATCTTAATAGGTCAGACAGTCATCAAGAAAAAAAAAACCTTGTTTGACATTTAGAAAGTCCTCATTATTAATTTCTAGTAGTTTCAAGTAATGAATGCTATAAAAATAAATAAATAAATAAAAATACAGATCTTTGCAACTGTGCCAAAAACGCTGGAATCAAAAAGGGCATTTTAATCAAACAGCAATTCTTCCTGAAATAACAACAACGAAAAAGAAAACATAGCCATAAAAGACAACTAAACTCCTTGGTTTAGGTAAAACACATATACTGTAAAACTAATCATAGAAAAGGATAAAAAAATAGAATTATTTGTTATCTTTTATTATTCTTCGTGGTTATAATTTGGCAAAAGCCTCCTTTTCTCTCCTTTATACAATCACTGTATTAAAATGTAATTTTGCAATAAAAGGGAAGTGATGGCCTAAAAGAGAAGCCCTTTGCGGCCTGAAGAGAGCAGCAGATTTCCAGTTTGGAAATTAAAGCAGCTTTGGGCGCATAGTGAGACCCCTGCATCAGAATGCCCCCCAACTGCTGCAAAAGCTGCTTGTACCTCCCATGGGTTAAATGAAGACATATTTTTAGAATGTGCAAGGACAAATAAAGGTTTCTTTGATTTGAAAATCATTGTAGCATGAAGCATGCTGACTCATCAACCAATTAGATTTAGATAATTTTTACTGTCAGTTTTGTACACAAAACAAAATTTTGTATTGTGCAGCTTTCAGACAGAGAACGAGCAGCAGCTTAGCAGTGAAATAAAGATTTCCGTTCCATATAGAGCAACAGTAATTAAATGTTAACAATGTGGGAGAAAAAACATGATGCAAAAACACGTTGAGTTCAGAGCATTTCAAGGCAAATATATATGGTGCGAATATGCAGTATTTTGGTTTGGTGTTATCAGTGTGATGTAGAGTCTGGGACTTGATTTATTAAATTTTTTTTCAACATTTATGTACCTGTCGTCAGCAAGACAAGAAGTAAGATAGCAGAAGTAGATTCTTAGTCTGAGAAAAAACTCACTTAAAATCTGCTGCACTGTAAATAACTGAATAGATGAGCACCAAAATACAAAAAAGATTTATTGTCAGTGGATCAACCTCCCAGACCACTCAGATCTTCTAGTTCCAGCCTACTCTGTTCACCCAAAACTAGAACCAAACATGGAGAAGCAACATTTAGTTCCTCTGCTCCACTTATCTGGAAAAAACTCACAGAAGTCTATGACAGTGCTGAAAGCCTGAGTTGTATACCAAAGTTAAAAACCATTTGTTTAGAGCTGTTGAAGTTAAACTGTTAACTGAGGTATTAATAGTTTAAGGTCCAAACTGTTTTGTTTACTACTTGCTTTTATCAGTTTTTTTTCTTTAATTATTTTTATTCTGCTTTTATTTTCCTTCTATTTTATTGTTTAATTCATGTAAAGCACTTTGAATTGTCCTTGTACTGAATTGTGCTATAAAAAATAAAAGCGCCTTCCCTTGCCTTCTGTATGCAAACTTACAACAAAAACATTCTCATTCAATAGAAATTGAATTTAAATCAAAATGGCATTTATTTCAGTAACTTTTACAAATTGTAAACATACAGATTTATTACACACATGTAAATTTTCCATCCTTTATTTCAGTTTTATTATGATTCTTTTCTATGACATCCAATGATACTAAATACAATCAATTCCGAAGAAGGGTATTAAAATTAATAAAAGTTTCATATGGTTGTAAAGTACTTTTAATTCAAAAAATAAACATATATTCTGATTGAAAGAAAATAACATTATAACACATTAAAATAGAATTACTTGATTCATTAAGCAGTAAAAACATATAATTCTGCTAAATACATACATTTCTTGATATAAGTGAATTTTTTTTATTGTATTATTGATTTTTTTCTTTTAAGATGACATGAAAATTTTGCTATTGATTTATTTCTCTTACTGTCATTGGATAAACTTATGGCTTATAAAATAACCTTTCCAATGGACCTACTGTGCTCATGGTAAAATATTGGTCTAAGGTCATTGGATCTCATGTAAAATTTTAGATAGTGCTGCAAACTACTCTGCAAAAGTATTTTTTAACCAAATTTCTTAACCTGAAAGTGCATTGCAAAAACATGCTA